GAGAGAGCGCGGCCAGAGCCGGCGGGAAGAGCGCCCGGCGGCCGCAGGGCTGCTGCGGAACGCTGCTCTGCAGAGCCCTTCCTCACTCGCCCCGTGCCATTTAATGCTCTGCTGCGCTTGTCAAAATCCAGAGTCGGGTATGTGTACCTGGAGCTCCGGCTTTTTTTGTCACTACAGACAACTTCAATACCCCAAATTTTTCATAAGCTCATTAGTCTATTAAGGACGTGCCTGCGAGGACTCCTGCGTGTCTCCGTGGTTCTAGGATAAATCATTAGAAACGTTTCGGTGTCTAGAGTCAGCAGGGGGATACATTCACTCTCTCTGTATAAATCCTAAAACTAAGTTAGGGAAGAGCCCGTATCGGTACAACAGTAAATTTCCTTGTAACTTCTTACATGTAAATGAATAAAACCTTACTTTTGGAGAGGAGAGCTGTGCATAGGTATCCTGTGGCTAAGCCACAGTACAATCAGGCTTCCAGACTTTTCCAGCAATATAACAGCTAACTTCACAATAGATTACAGATTATAGCATATGACACTATCATGAATGTCATAGTCAATAACTACTTCTAATTTAATAGGCATGACAGAAGAGAATCCTGGGTGTGGGATGTCAGGCTGTGTGCTGCTGTGTTTTTAAAAACGTGCACTCTAGTGGAAGAGTGGTGAGAGCTGCTGGGAGGAAAAGTTTGGAGGTAATTGGGCCAGAGAGCTGACCTGCTGCCAGTGCCTACGTCCCAGCTTTGGATCTGCCCTATGGTGTGACTGTGTGCCCGTTTCTTCTCTGCCATGCCTAGCTTTTTTGCATGAGAAAAAAACACCAAATCCCAAAAAGGCTTGCTGCTGCTCTCCTCTGCTAAGGCACGTGGTTTGTGTAGATGGAAGTCATACTAAATAAATACGGATTATTTGTACTTGGTGAAATAGATAAAATGAAGTCTTTATTAACCAGAGTTCTCCAGTGGTCTACGGTACTTCTGGGGTTTCCTACTTGTAAATAACTGGAAAAACAAACTATACAAGAATAAATCAAAAGATCTACCTTCTGATGACATATTGCTCTTACTTAGATATCCCAGAGTGTCTCTTACACTGGATATGTGTAAGCTGTGGATTTGATGTGCAAGTAATTAGCTGTGTATTTGGCCAGCCCAGAGCATATGTGTGTGCACACGCACATGCACAGGGACTTGAGCGTGCTCTCAAATGTGGGAAAACGAAGGGAGCTTGCTTTCATTCACTCCTTTGCTCCCAGGCAGAAAGTCAGGCTTTTAGATTGTTGTATATTTCTGCAATAACTCAGTAGTAATAATAGGCTAAATCAATCTGATGTGTCTGTGTTTTTTTACAGCACCCAATAAATATTCCCACCTAACTCTCTCGCAATATCTTCTCTTTTTTTTTCCCCTAAAAGCTGCAGGACAAGAAAAGAAAGCCCTTTTTTATATTTTCAGACCTCTAAGAATATCTAATATTGTGGGAAGGGTCTGCTTGAAACAATGATTGATATTAGAGATAATGCATGTTTGATTTGCCCTAGGAGCAGGAAATCCTTTTTAAAGCCCAGTTCCTAGAGGATATCTGGCTTACAGTGCACAAATATCTTCTTCTGGTATGCAAAGAATTACCTATACGTATATGAAGTATGACTTGGTACCATGTTGAATCAGGATCTTACTCTCCTAGGAAGCAATTTTAGCCAAGAGCATTTTACTTTTATATTCAGGCATACTTACGTGAATACTTCCATCCCCCATCCTGCAACGGCTGTGAAGAGCCTCGGGCCTAGATCCCTGGCCGGGTTCATGGCACAGCCACTGTTCATTCCCAAGGAGCACGTAAGAACAATTATAAGAAGTCCTACTGCAATAGGCTCCAGGCCCTTTGGTACACTGTTATTTCTGGTGTCAAAAATAGCAAATATAGCCAGAAGAAGAACAGCTGTTGACATCACCTGGCCAATGCAAAGAAAAGAATGTTGAATAAATATGTGCAGATTCCTTCCAATAATGAGAAGAGGGTGTATGGCAGCTCTGTGAATTGAAGTGGCTTATTGCTGGTATTTAGATTTATCCCACGAAACAGAGTAGCAAAATTTGGAACTCAGTGCCTCTCTACTTCACAGTAATGAGAAGTTGTGGTATCTGTGCTGAAAGAGAAAGACAAGAAAAGTACTGGGGACATTTGAAGAAAAAAAAAATCTGCAACAACCTCATGAGGAAAGAATACAGACCTCCCACAGGAGGTGGCTTTTAAATCCTGATGTTTTGTTTCCACAGATTTTCCTATCAGTTTAACAGTTCCATTTACATGATTTTTGGTAGTTTTGCTATGCCAAAACAATCAGTTACATTGATGTAAAAGTTTTTTATGTGACTGTTACTCATGCTGATCAATTAGACTTAATATGCACCTTTTTATATAGGTATTGCATAAGGGCAGGAAAAAAAAAAGTCAAAGCTGAGCAGCTAAAAATTAAGTTTGCATGTGTAACTAATGTGAACTCTGTATTGCACATGCAAATTGAGCTGATGAAGAACATTTTCTTGGAATTACTTTGATGGAAGTGCTGCTCTGCTTAAGCCAAATGCTTTGTAAATGTTGATTTTGCTAATAATTAACTTAGGGGAAAAACAGGCAAGTTTCAGAAATGTAAAAGCATTCCATTTCTCTACTAATTTAAAGAAGCTTAAGTTTGGGTGGTGTTTTTTTTTTATTTCACCTGGTTTTAATTTTGTTTTAAAACATCTGTGGTAAAAAAATCTTATGGAAAGCCTGTTGACTGATCCAAAGATCAGAACTATCTTTTTTACAAAAGTTCAAAATAGTGTTTGCATTTTGAAGCCAGATTGCTCAATTTTCAAGTCCTTTACGTAAGGAATTCCTGTGCTCCAGCAATCCCTAGTTTTTCATAGCTTATTTACATAGTATTTATTTCATGTATACCTGAAGAAGACAAGTAAAATGATTAGAAGTAGATACAAGATATGAAACTTCATTTCTCACTCTTGGATAAGTAGGATTAGAGGATACAGATTGGAAATAAAGTGGATACTTTTTCAGATTCAGTTGAAAAATATCAAGAAATACAAATTTTTTTGCAAAGATAATGTTGGAGAGGAGGCTTATAGTAGCAGAAAACTCAGTTGTTCAAGATGTTTTAAACTGGCTACCTGAGCATTATTTCAAGAATAGTAGGCCCACAAATGGGCTGGATTTTGATGTAAATGGACATAGCTCTCCTTAAGTTTACGGAGAAATACTGATTTATGCTAGGGAAAACCTCTTGCATATATTTCATTAAAGACATGTGGAGTGCAACAATTAACATGACGTATGTGAAAAGAACAACTTGAAATCATCTTGCTTGTAAAATATGCCTAAAACGTAAGCCCTGCAAACAGCATTGCATTCTTATTGCTGTTGTACGCAGCAATATACGACCCAAATGGTGAGATTCATCATATCTGCAAGACATTTATGTATTTTACTGCTTGGTTTTACAGTTTTCAGTATGTTTACTTTGTAGAATCAAGACAGCAAGTATGCTTACCTGATCTGCAAATCCATTTATGAGGGATAGATAGGGAGCTGGATATGTTGCGAAGATGTGTGCTGTTGCGTTAGGTCCTGTGACTTCAAGTGTTCCATTGCTGTATTCCATAAAGGCATCTGTAAAAAAGCCCCATTACCTGGTTGCACTTCCAGAAACACTAAGTTTTCTAGGACTAGAATGTGTGTGATAGGTCTGTGCACCTCATATTCTCAACTGAAACGGATCAATTTTTCTGGGGGTGTAACTAACAGCTTTGAGGTAACGCACTGGTCATAGCCTCCATCTCATCTCTCTTGTGCCTTGAAGTACATGTTTTATGCATCACAGCTTTCAAAATGTGGCTGTTTTTACCCCTGCTCGTTGTTCCCAACTCAGTGCCAAGGAGCATTTCTGATTCTGAACACAATTGCATTATTCTGTAAGAGGTGCTATATTTGGCATGAGGCCCTGAAAAATGCCTAGGGTTCTGATTGTACTGCTGGGGATTCCCAGCCCTGTCTGCAGACTTCATGCCCAGTTGGTAGAAGCAGAGTCTTGGAGCAGATGATGGAAGCAACTGATCTGACTGAGTGGATTCATTCATTAAGTCAGGGAGTCTGTCACAAAGTTTTTTCCTTTTGTGGCACACCGTGCAAAAGAAACATGCCTCAAGCATAGGTGTATTTTTTTATTTTCTTTTTTTCCCTTTGTATATGTGACCCTTTTATTACTCTACCTGGAGTTCAGTGCCTTGGAGAGCTACCTCTCTAGGGTGGTCTGAAGTTTAGTCAGGAGGGACTTGATCTCATATCCTGTAACCTCCATGAACGATGTTGGTGATACTTGCCTACAGGCAGTTGGATCAGGTCTTTAGTGCTTCTAATTTGCTTGGAAGATGAATAGCCCTGTATCCTGGCTATTAAGTAGTTTAAAATCCTTACTGAGAAATGCATGATCTCAGGGTATCTGATTTCCCCTGAATAATTTTTCAAAATTTCAGAGTATTTCCTGGAGTATTAATGTTTCAGCAAAGTTGTAGGATGTTTGAGGTTTTGGTTTGGCTTTTTTGTTTGTTTCTTTGTTTTCCACTTCAAACTTTTTGCGCTTCTTCCTTTCTTCTTTACAGCTTTAGCTTCAGTCCTGTCGTTAGCCCTGTGTGAATGGAGTCCTGTGCCTGTTAGGCATTCATTGAAAAATTGGGGCCTTAGAGACTGCCTGACCTCTGGTTTGTCCTGTGAGCATGTATAAGGTGTACTCACCATAATAAATCCCAAAGACAGCCGCTGCTCCAACGAATGCTCCCAGGAGTTGTGCTAATATGTAAGTTGGTAATTTGGTCCATTTTAATCTTCCAGTCACGCACATGGCTAATGAAACGGCTGGGTTTAAGTGACCACCTGAAAAATAAATCACAAAATGAGTCATGTGGATGACTCAGATACATGAGAATAAGTGAAGGATTTGTAAAAATGGAGGTGCTTTTGAGCAAAAGACTAGTACATGCTTTTCTAGATGTTAGTTTGCAATTAAATGCTGACTGCAATGAAACTGAAATAAGTTGGATGAAATAAATTAGGGTGGGGGAGGGACAGAAGCCACCAGGATCCAGCTTCCCTCTTGATGTTTGCAGGCTGTGCCGTTTATCAGGCCGCTGTCCTGCAGTGTATAATCTATAGATCTAAAGACAACTGTTTCTAGAAAAAGCCTAAATCTCTCCTGTTGGTTGTAATGGGAGGGCCCAGCATTCTGCACACGTTATCTCTCCTCAAAGATTTTGGCTTTTTATTTTTAAGGGAGGGGTAGCGGAACACTCATTCAGTTTAGCAAGCTTGTATTAACATCAAGGACTGTTACTGGCTTGATCTTGAGGCATATCTGGAGTACCCTGGATTTAAGTCATGTTTATGCCTCTGCCTTCAACGTGGGGTTACTCAGGAACTAGGTTTTCATTAACATAAAATAAAATAATGCTAGGGCCAGACAGTTTCATGCTGACTGTTGGTGAGCTATGCCTAGATGGGATCTGGGGACTGCAATGCATAGTTCTTTGTCACAAGTTTTCATTAAGCTCTTACACCCTCCAGAAAGGTTCACAACAAGGAAACTGATAAAGTAGCTGTGCTGAAAGGGAAAATGCTACAGGAAATAGAACTCTCTTCCTTTGTAGTTAGGAACAGCTACATCCAAACTCAATATGGAAAAGATTCTGCAATACTGGAATTCTCTGTGACAATTTTAGTTTCAAAAATATATTTATTATTAGGTCACATGCCAGTCACTTCCCTCCACGTCTTTTATCAACATGGGAAAAAAAATGGTTGATTACTTTTGGAAAACTTTATTTTTTGCAAATATTTAGTTGGTACTTAAGAAGTACAAATTGCTAAATAAACAGGTGAAACAGTACTCCACAGTAAAAATACAGTGAAACCTGGTTTGCAAGGACATAGCGGATCCACTGCTTACCTTCCGGGTAAAGTCTCATTTCAACCTGTAAGGTTAACAGAAAAAACCCATTCCTCGTCTTTATTAAAGTAACTAAAAGAGCATGACCTTTGTCTGTCAAAAGCTAGTGGTGGAGAAGGGCCTCTATGTACAGTTTCTGTGTTTGTTTGCACTTCAGGTCAGTGAGCCATTATCTTATGAAATCCAGCCACCTTTGATACATAATGAACTGACAAACACAGATAATAAGCTGGATAAGACCTTCTTTGTGTTATTTCCAAAACTCTGACCTGGTAGCACCAGTCTTGAATTTTTTTTTTTAATACCTCCCTATGTTTCAAATTCTTCAGCACAGAGCAAATAGGTGGATGGCAGCTTATTCAGCAGCCCTTCATGTGAATTTTGATAAAATGTTGTCTGGTCTTTTGTTCTTTACTCTGTCTGGAATGAATCCTTTTCCTTTCTCTCAACACCTGATATTGTTCCCTACCTATATATAATACAGGGTGATTATGATGGCCAGCAGAAGTCATGATAATATTAGAGATGTATGATTAGCTTCAAATCTAGAAAGGAAAAGCCTAGTTGAGGGCTCTCGTGCTGATGTAGAGGAGTTAAAAGATGCTTGGTTCATGTGCCACTGGTAATTTCCTGGTTAAAAAAAAAGAAAAGAAAAGAAAAGAAAAAAGTCCACTTTGGACAGTATGTTCCCCATTCTTTTGTAGCTGCAGAGATCACAGTTGTGAGTTTGTTTCAAATCTTAACTTGGAAAAAATGGTGGGAAATTATTTAGACATGAGGAAAATTAGATGGAGGAAAAGCAAAAGGGGGAACTTTTCTATATAACAGAGCTCAGATTCGCTAAGCATACAGAGTATATGTTACCATGAATTTAGAATTTCATAAAGAACTGATGCAAAGTATTTTAGCAGTACTCAAATATGAGACTTCATGGTCAAAGAGCCACAGAATTTGCTAACAAATACTATGTAGGCACTGATACAATTACTAGTGGACACTTCAGAACATGTTGGATAGTCGCAGCCTGTTGAAATATCTGTTCCTATTCTTTCACAGCGAAAATGCACTGCATGCAGAATCCTTTGTCATGGGAAAAACACAGGAAGCACAATACTGCAACATCTGCAAGTGCTCTGCCCTGCTGGGATTGAACTCTAATCGTTGTACAATGCAGATGAATATCCCTTAAAGATACAAATATAGGACAGGTTAGTGTCTTTTTTTATTTTTCATGATACTGCATTAGAAAAGTTTTATCTGCCTAGAGTATAGAGTGGGTATATAACATGCGAACCAAAAGCTGTAGTTTAAAGTTGTCTAGATAACAGGAATGTACAGCTGAATTAACTTTGTGTGGTGTTAAGGAACTAGTCTGCTTGGTTTCAATGACAGTAAGAAGATTGTCTGTTTTGCAGTATGTTGAGCGCTTTCTAATGTGAACTTAGAAACCTCCTCATGCATGGTGTCTCTGTAAAAGAATTTGTAAGAGAGAAGAGAAACAGACACAGTAATTTCTGCAATGGCAGCTATTTATAACGGCCTAGTTGTACCTAGAGGTATCTGCTGAGATTGGCTTTACTCTCTTTATGAAAGGTAAGAAATGCCTCTATGAGAACTGGAGTACAAGCACACCATTTTCTTTCAGAGGGCAATACCAACTCCACATACAACACAGAATACTGTGTATTATAATACACAACACTATGTTATTACAACCCATTGTATTTTAAAGGGAGAATTTATATCTTAAAAGCAGTTATGCTAATGTTTCTGGTATTAGTTTGGCCAAACTGAATGGTGGAAGTAGGAGACAAAGGAGCATCCGATATGGCACATGTAGTTTGGTCATTCCTGACCAAAATATATTGAGGAAACTTTATAGCAGAAACAAAGGGACAGTGACAGTACACTGACAATGCACCACAGAATGTATCTCTGGTACTGAATCTTTTTGCTGTTTCTGCTTTCTATGATCTGCTGCTTCTGCAAATAAGCAGACAGGAGCAGACTTGCTAGTGCCTGTCATAGGACATGAAGAGATTGAAGCTGGCTCATTATACCCATTAGTGGGTCATTCTACCTTCTACCTTGCTGGCAACTATTTTAGCTGGTGACTGCTGGATTGTGTAAGCTTTTTGTGTCATTTGCTTAAACGCAGTGCCTATGCTCTCCGGCATTGTCTCTACTGACAGAATTTTCAAAGCAAGACCACGCAGATTTGTGATTTGCACAGACCACTTTACATAAAGTTCAGAGGTCTGCCAAGGTTTGCATGCTGTGGTTCAGATCAGAATTTAGTGGAAGATTTCGTCAAACATGAAGAGCAGACGGAAACAAAAACCATAAAATATTTACTTTTTACAAGGACATGTAGGGAATAGGACAAGGGGTAATGGCTTTAAACTGAAAGAGGGTAGATTTAGATTAGATGTAAGGAAGAGGTTCCTCACTGTGAGGGTGGTGAGGCACTGGCACAAGTTGCCCAGAGGAGTTTTGGATGCCCCATCCTTGGAAATGTTCAAGGCTTTGAGCAACCATGTCTAGTGGGAGGGAGGTGTCCCTGCCCATGGCAGGGCCGTTGGAGCTGGATGATCTTTAAGGTCCCTTCCAACCCAAACCATTCTATGATTTACTCATGAAACTCTGATGCAGACTCTGCTGTAATGATGTTGGCATTTGCTAGATACCTAATCGTTTATAGCATGAAATGGAAGTAATTTAATAAGATAGTCTTACAACCATTAGAATAAATGCTATATAAGAAGAAAAAAAAGTCACTTACCAGAGACCCCCCCAGACACATACACTGCTATGGTGACTGCCATTGCAAATCCAACTGATACCGTCATGGGCCCACCATGGGCTCCTCTGCTAAGGACAGCCTGTCCCACGCACCCACATCCAAGTGCCTGTATTTTGAAAGGGAAATGTAAACTCATGAGTGTGTCTGTCAAATGTGATTGGTTAGTTTGCCACTCCTGCTGCTGTCCAGGTATACTGAAAATGTTGTTAAAACAATGCTAGAATTTGAGATTAGAGGTATGTGTGTGATTGCTGCCTTTGCTGCAGTGAACATTTGCTCTTTTCTCTCTCCTCAGAAAACAATTTTCAATACAGTGATGGGATTGGAGCCTAAACAAGATCTCACAGCCTCTACAACACATCTCTGCATCTGAAAGTGAAGAGGGAGTTAATTCTGTGTGGTAAGTTTTTGGTTCTGAATTGTTGTTACAAGCAATGAAAAAAATGACTATAAATATTGTGAAGTATAGTTCAAAATGCTTTTAATGTTTAATGCTGAAACTCTAGAAAGAGACAACTTGCTGGAAACTAAAGTTATGTTACTGTTATGCTGCCTTTATATCCTGTATTTCTTTATCAAAAAATTTTGCTGGCTGCACAGCTTGAACAATTAAGTGAAGTGGGGATACCTGAATAATTCACATTGGAGTATTTTCAATGGATTTAAACTAGCTTCCATTTTATGTTGGTTTCCCTCAGAATGAAGTTCAGCAACACATTTAGAAGTATGCTTAAACCCACATTTATTCAGTTCTAAAGCTTCTCTTTAGCTTCAAGCATATGTTTAGGTCCTATTAAAGTTGGTAGGAAAGATTTTTCCAAAGGTACAAAAGGCCTTTAGTTTAAGATAGGCTAGCTGATCTGCTGCTGCCAGAAATCAATCTGTGTCTTTGAAAATCTCCTTTTTAAATACATGCCTAAGTGTTTTTCTGAATAAAGACCTAAGATACCAAATAATGTCTCTAGTCTGAAAAGCCTTGCTTCTTTGTAACTGGAAGTGATTTGAATCGTACTGTTTCTGGGATTTGACTAGATTTATCTTGAGCAACCTTAATTACTTACTTGGATATATATATATTTTTTTATATATATATTCATTCTTAGATAGTATATGGGAATTTGATTATTTTTAAATTATTTTTTTTTACTTCCTATAAAATCATTCCAGTTGCTTTGGTTGATCTGCCATGTGTCACCAATGACTGAATTGCAAGTATTTCTCCTAACTATGCATAGCTGAATACATAAAATTTAGTACTTTTAGAAATGCTTATTTTTAGTTGCAAGGCAGTTGCATTCAGAAACTGCAAAGTAATGAGAAAATCTCTCCCGCCTTATAAATAGACTGTACCAAAAAAAATTGTCAACTGAGGTTTAACAAGCAAGCCCTGCTAGAGTAGAAGCAATTTAAACTGGGAAAATCATACTTTTGTTTCCGTTACTTCCCCAAGGGTTTTAACTAATACCAAAATGTGACAGAAAAGCTCTCAATAAAATTATGCTCTTAACCAGTGTTGTAATGCAGACAAAGTTTCTGTTATAAGAGTGCCCTGAGACTGTGTCATATACCCAGGTGCAGTTCTTGCCTTAAGGTTATAATCACGCAAGCAAACAAACCACTGTCTGGTGCCAAAGTGTTACAGCTGTCAGGTTACGTAAGGGTAGGGTGGTGTTAGATAGCAGTAGTTTATTGGACTGAATAATTGAGAGTTACTATATTCTGAGAGTTACATATCCTGAGCCGCAGTCGGCTGCTGTGCAATGGATGACACATGCTCACGTTAGGCATTCTCTCATTGCTATTAGTGTCATATATCTACCAATCCAAATGGTAAGTCCAAACGTACATACAGATACAAAACCAAAACAAACCACATGTTTTTTAGAAACTTTATATGACACAGTTCTACTTGTCATGTATTTATATGTTTAATATGGGAAGAGTGGGTATGCTGGAATTTATGAAATTTAAGATTACGACACAAGTCTAGAAAAGGTGGAATTAGCATGCTCTAGCCTTCATATTCCAGACTTCTTGAAGGGAGTATTCCAGACATTGTACTAAGCAAGATTTTGTGAAAGATATGGCTCAGATGTGGAGCAACTTCAGTAGCCTGATCGGGGGCCCTGTGCATGCTGGGTGCAGTCAGGCAGGCAGTTAGATCTACAAGTATGCACTCGCCTTCTGAGATGGCACGGACAAAGGTTTGCAGATTCAAAGAAAAGGATGTTCTCTTGAAAATATTGCCCTTTTCTGTAAGGATGATGAAAAAAGAGAACAGGAGTGGGCAAGATGGGTATAGAAAAGGATAAGGGACAGTAATAATATCTATGTATACCAACTACAAATTCACAAGAAGATGGAAGGAAATAGAAGTGGGAGGCTGTGGCCTCCCTTGCCTGATTACCAGAACTGAGGAGAATCGTACAGAAGCAGCCATGTAGTCCTCTTGTGTAATAGCTTCTGCTTAGCACATCGTGGGGAAATATGCAACTCCAGATGCTACAGTTTTGTGCTAACCAGTCTCAGAAATCTCAGTCTATAAACAAGAAGGCATATAAGCCAGCTTTCAAACACAGCTGCACTGGCTTCTTGTTGGGTGGATGGTGGCAAATGACCGCCCACTGGTGCAATGAACACTGTTGCAGGCACAGCCAGGGTGTGCCCATTCTGGGGTGGGGAAACTGGAAAGAGAATCTGCAAATCTGAACTGTGGCACAGCAGTATTTTCTCCATTTGATGTCATTTGAAGGATAGAAGAAAATTTTCTCATACCTGCTATAGCTAGGTTGACATAACTGGAAACTATCACCTAATCATGTAATTACATGAGTAGCAACTTAATATCCTGTGAATTTTTGCTTGTCTGAGTTAAGAACAACTAGGTCATCAAATTGTAACTAAATACTCTTAAGTTTCCAGGCCAAGCTCAGCCATCAGCTGCACCCACACAAACTCACTGATTAAAGCACATGGAGTCAATGGGAGTTTAATTTACAGTAGAATATAGCCAGATCTTTTTATCTTATCTTGTCTTATCTTATGTTACCAGGTTTTCATCTTAGCACTTGTCTATAGCCTGATCTGCTTAAATTTACCCAAGTAGCTTCAGTACTGTGTTTTTGTTCACAAAGTAATTAGATTACTGTCATAAATAACATGTTTGGGTGTGGAATGGCTGTCTGCACATTCTCTGCCAAAAAAACTTGCTTCATAGATATTAGATCCTTCTCTTTGTCTTGGGTAACAAGGCTAATGTTAGGAAAGGAAAATGACTAACCTTCAATGAGCATAATGTCTTGTTACTCCCTGGAAGCTGGCAGAACTTTATCCCACTCATCAGAGAGCCTCCATCTGTGCTATTTTCAGGATTTTTGCACATGCCTGTAATAGCATTCTTTAGTGTAAATAGAATTTCCTGCAAGATCTGAATGCAGAATTTTAGGGAATCTATTTTTCTACATGGCCTGTAAAGCTTTAGACATCTTAAAGCAGAATGCTTATATTAAAAAGGCCCCTTCTTAGCAAACCGATCTAGTGGTAGTGTGCATTCATAGCCATGCACTCGTACTGGAACATTAAAGAAGTGGTCAAATCTCCTGGTTTTTAGCAGCGTGGAGACAGTGATGTGTGTTCTGTTATATCTTGTACATCATCATCTGCCAAGCTGAGGTGAGTTACATACCTACAGCAGGGACCCTGCAGGAAGACTATGGCCTCAGTGGCCACACAACTCATGATGCTCTACACAAATACAAAAGTTCAGTGTGCTACAAGGAATACAGAGTCAGCAGTTAAAAAAAAACAAAACCCCACATATCTTAATTATAACCTGTACCCTTTCAATCAGGAAATGCTAGAAAAATAGTTTAGAATTTCTATTTTAGTCAATTTTCAGGGCAGAACTGTGCTTAAACAACCACAGCTAGTTACGAAGAATCTCCAAAGAACCCTCCACCAATTCACGATTTTCTGTAAGGCTGCCTTTGGTCAGGTAAGGCTGTAGCCCTGCCCCTTTCCCACACCACACTCCCACCTATGCTTTGCTGTTCCCCAGACAGATATTTCCTGCTAGCCCACGACTTGCCTGCTCCCCTTTTTCAGCCTGGCTGGACTCACAGTTCTGCTCTGTCCTCTGCACATGGGTTCCCAGCAGGGCTGTGAAAGGGAGGGGCCCCAGCTGTGCACTTGCAGTGGGTGTCCTTCTGCTGTCCTGAAGTTACCTGTCCCAGGCCTGCAGAAGCAGGGTCATGTTCTGGGATGCTCGAGGATGTGAGAGCATGCACTGGTATTTCACTTCTTGGGGAAACTCATGTGACTTTGCCAAGCAGACAGCACCACATATTTAGCCCCCTGAAGGTGGGGATACAGGTGGGAAGAGGCAGCCCTTTGGGTTCGCGAGGAGTGGTTCCATTTTCCTTTTGCTGCAGGCAGGGATCTCTTTGACCAAAATTGTCTGTGCTTTACCATAGTCTTGTACAGATCACCCTGCCCTCCATTAATATTTCCATATATGCTTAGTTGGGTGTTGCTTATAAAAGTAGTAAATGAACTTTTCAGGTAAGGGGATGATTACTAAATTGATGGTGTCCTTCTAAAAGTCTTTAATTTGAAGTGTATTTTAGAAGTTGCTTCCATTTCCAATCTCTTTATTAAAATTCGTAAGCAGATTTGCTTAGTATCTATTACATTTCATAATAAGGTGTTTAAAATTGATTAGAAACTCTTTCCGTACAGAGCTATGTTTTTGCCATGCATGTGTATTATACAGGGCCTTAATTCATCCTGGGATCCTAAACATTCTTTCAGTAGAGATAGGAATGCCAACAGCAACAAAAACAGAGACATGTTACATCTACTGAAACTCAGGGTGTTAGCTCTGCAATAATTCAAGTTGCAAGGAACTCCTTTTCTTTCAGGAAAGAGCAATCTTCATCTAATTTCAGGTTTAATATTTGCTATTTTTTTAAAAATCAAGTAGTACTCAAGACTTTTTAAGGCGAGATAAAAATACAGCTTACCAGTCAAGTAATTTTTAAATACTTAAAAAGCACATGGCACTTATTTTGTAATTAATTAAATATTTTGGAGGATTTCTCTACGTTA